GTACACAGTGGAGTGGATAGGCCACGGAAGCTGCATCGGATGAGCTCAGCGTGAGTGGTAGCAAAGTTTACCACACTCAGCTTGGCATTTGTAGGCATTGTGACTTGTGCGGCAAACAACAACAGAAACCAGCCTCTACAGAGAATCTTATCCTCAAGGATCACTAAACAGCTACAGGAGGGCCCCAGAAGAGATATAGTAGTGTGGAGAATGAGGCATGGAAGTGCAAGGTCCTGTGAGCCAAGCGGGGGGGGGGGGGGGGGGGGGGGGGGCGTGGGGTGCGGCGAGGCGGGGGGGGGGGGGGGGGGGGGCGCACTACATTATAGCTATCTGCAAAGCCCCAACCAGGTCCTGCTGTCCCACCTGGTGAACTCATACATGTCTTCTCCTGCCCTTCTAGGGATAGTGACACTACAGCGTGGGACCTAGAGACAGCCACATTATATAGTTCCATGTGCTGCTGGAGACCCCTTCCCTATAGACCTCTCTCTTGCCATGGCCCCACCTCCACCACTACAAACCACCCAGGACATTGGCAGCTGGGACACTAACAAGCTAGTGCTTAGTGAGCATTGACTCAGCGTAAAAGACACTAGAAAGTTCCGTGGGGAATTTGCCCTTACACTAGGCGCAGCTGGCCAGCTGTCCTTGCCACAGAGCTGGGAGCAGAGGGCACATGGCTTGCCCCTTATATTTCTCCTGATGAATTCCCCCTGTCTTCCAGAGACGCCTTACCCATAATTTGCTCATCTGGGGTCCTCTGGTTGTCACATTTTTCCCTTGAACGTGACAGTACCAGCCCCGCAAGGCTCAGTGAGTCCCCACCTCCACAGAAGTGCTGGTTTAATTCAGCAAGTGCTCAGAGTTCAGTTCCCAGCAGACAGAGGTGAATTCCCCTCCCCAGAAAGTCCTACTGACTAGTGGTGGACTCAGAAAGATGCCCCGTCCTCAGCACCTCTGCACTCAGGCAGCAGCCACCCACACAATACTGGCATTTCTACCAGAAAAGCATTTTTAGCCTTATTGTCACACTGCAATCACTTTGTGACCCTAAAAGGGCAGGAGCATAGCTTCCTGGATGTTGGTGGGCTCTTACCAAACCATGTTGGGGACAGCTTACCACTACCAATTTGCAAGCCCTGCTCAGGCACCTCTGCAAAAAAATTTGCTCTAAGCCCCTCTGTCTAGTTTCTAAGTAGTGTTCTTGGTGTAAAACGGAGTCTTAGCAGAGTCCAAAACACATAGACATATCGGCTATTACTGATGTTTCTGAAACATGCGCTTCAGACTTAACTTTGTAGTTGATTCCTAACAGGATAAAAACACCAAAGGTCTGCCCCCTTCTTATTGCATCACAATTATCCATGGATGAGAGTCAGTGTATGTCTTAAGGAAACACAGAGGCCTCATTTGTTCATCTGTGAAATGGGGTAGGTGACAGCAATACACAATGACAGGATCAAATGAGGTAACGTTGAAGGAAGGAGGCCATCCAGCACTGAACAATAAAGGGGTATGGCTGAGTTGTTGGTTTCTAAGTTGGCTCTCTGTCTTTTTGGTAGTAGGGAAGGGGCAAGAACATAATAATAACATAGCTCCTGCCAGAAAGAAAAAAAAAAAAAAAAACAGACCTTTTCCCAAGGCAGTCAACTAACGTTGTAATCAATGTTTTTTGTTTGTTTTTGTGTTTCAAGACAGGGTTTCTCTTTGAGTAGTTTTGGCTGTCCTGGAATTCACTTTGTAGATCAGTCTGGCCTTGAACTCACAGAGATTCATCTGCCTCTGCCTCTGAAATGCTAGGATTAAAAGCATGTGCCACCACCGCCCTGCTTGATCAGTGTTTTTAATCTTGCACATATAGTGATATTCTATAAAAATTAGAGAAATAAGTCTCTAAGTTTCTCCCCTAAGAGCTTTAAGCAGTGTGTGGGGGAAAGGGTCTAGTCTCTGGGGGCTCAGAGCCTCAGTGTGCAGAGTAGAAAAGTCTCAATTTTACCTGAACACACAGAACTTGGAGAGTCACACGTTCCTACACCCTCACAGAGATGAGCTAGGAATAAGAATGTGCACACAGCATGACAGAACTCATATGTCCATTTTGAGGGGACCTGATCAGAAATCCCTATGCAACCCAACAAAAGAAGGAGGGGGGAGGGGGCCTTGCAGACCCTGCTACTCAGGCCCTCTTGTCATATCACTCACTGTCAACACTGTCCCCAAGAATAGGACATTAGCTTGCTCCCTGAAGTATGACATGGCCAAGCAAGCCATGAGTCTGCTCAAGTCCTCTAGGCTTTGCAAAAGACAACGGCTGGGGCCCAAAGTCTATGTTCTACTTTCTGTGGATAGAAGAACATAGGCTCAGTATTTGTAACAGGCAGGTCTAGGCCACCCAAGACCCTCAAGAGTTAAAAGGCAAGATGGCTGATCAGATGCCCACAGTTTAACCCTTTGGCTCTGGACTCTTTCTCACAATTCTAAGTATGTGCCAGGTCGCTTGTCCTCTACTTCTCATCATAAGCCCAAAGGAAGGGACATGTAGTCTTCTTTGCAACTAATGGGGTGGTGGATGTGCACAGTGGCTTAGTATCTTAAACAAAGATAGGCAGCACCTGGGCTAGGCAGAGGTCCATGGTTAAAGATGGAGACATGGACACAATCCATCACATCAGAGACAGGCCGCCTGTTCTGCTTTTAGTAATTTAGCCTCATCGGCTAGGGCAGTAGGTTGTTTGCTCAGATTATAAGGCCAACTGGCTGTACAGATGGTTGCCAAGATCAGCCAGCCATGGGTAGCATTTCTTATACACTTGGCAGGAAATAAATGAGCCAGTTGGAAAATAAGTGACCATGGGTGGATTTCTCACCGGGAATACATCTAAACACCATCTGACCAATGCAAATAGGTAGCCTGGGTCACCTGCAGCAGCCAATAAGTGGCTACTCACCAAAGAAGTAAGTTCCTGAGCACAGGTGTAGTGTTGGGGTGTATTTGCTCTCACCAAAGAAGGCCCCAAGAAAAGTTGAATGATACTGCTGGATGGTCCCAGGAGGGTTGGCCAACTCTGGCTCCCATCCTTTCCGAATTCTATGAAACCCAGGAGTGCCGAACGTGAAAGCACCAGGAATAATCTCGGGACACTGGCTGCCGGGGTCAAAATTAGAGCCCCAGGACATAGCAAGTATCTTTTAGGTCCTCTGTTCCAGAGTTGCACTCAAAGACATAGAGAGCAGTTACCTTCTTGGATGCAGAGTTAACACAATGCCTGGTTTGTGGTAGGGGCTTGATAAGCACTTTGTTATTCTCAGTGTCTAATTGTCATCATTCATTCTTCCTGCTTAGTAAACAGATTGCTTAGAGAATGGAATTCATTTTCACAGTGGTGAGTGTTTGCTATCCTAGTGCTCTGTAGTTAGAAGCAAGGCTGTCCCTACTCTCCTGACTCTTCTGAGCGCACCTTCTGCCTGGCCTTCTGACTTCTGCCATATTGTAAGGCAGGTGCAGTTGCCTAACCATGGACTTCCCAATGCCCAGAAACACAGCCTAAACAAACAGCTTTTCTTTATAAATTACTAAGCCCCAAGTATTCTGAGAGTTAGACAATTATTGGGGAAAAAAAAAAAAAACAAAAAACAACAACAACAACAACAACAAAAAAAAAACAGACCAAGATGTTTGCTTTGTTTTAAATACAAAAGAGAAAAAAAGAAATTAAGGCATTACTGTGTGAGGCAGCGTTGAGCAT